CTTGAAAATGAAAGGCTTGATCATTCAAAGAAAGACAGGTCTTGAAAAGGAAAGGCTTGATCATTCAAAGAAGGACAGGTCTTGAAAATGAAAGGCTTGATCATTCAAAGAAAGACAGGTCTTGAAAGGGAATGGCTTGACGATTTCAAGAAAGGACAGGTCATGGGAATGGCTTGACGATTTCAAATAAGGACAGGTCATGGGAATGGCTTGACGATTTCAAAAAAAAGGACAGGTCATGGGAATGACTTGATGATTTCAAAGAAGGACAGGTCATGGGAATGACTTGATAATTCCAAAAGGACAGGTCATGAGAGAGACCTGGTGATTCAAAAGGACAGGTCATGAGAGAAGACTTGTTGAATTCAAAGGTGATGGGTTAACATAAGTATACTTACCGCCCTTGATGATTTCCTCACAAGGCCGGTAAGTGGAGGACTTCTTGATGGGTATATCCTTATACCCGACCCGGATAACCGAAAGGGACAGGTCAAAACATGACCGGTCACTTTTATCAAGTCACCAAATGATGTTAACTCTTTGATTGGGAAGGGTCAAAAATTGACCGGTCACTTCCACTAAAAAAGTGACCGGTCACATTTTGGGCGATAGCCATTTCGCCACTTAATGTTGCGAAGGATATTCCAAAGGACCAAAGAGATGGGTTGAACTCAAGAAGAACAAGTCTTATCAAAATTTGTTCAAACTATTCACATAGATTTTGTATTGCTATAAGACTATTTTATGATATATGTTTTAATCTTTTTTTTTGATGCTATTGATTCTTTTAGAATGTAGTTTATGTCCATACTTTCTCAACTTAATGAGATACAGAGAGCCAAATCCTCCGTTTAGAATCGAACGTAGATGAGCATCCGACAAGATCTTAGAGAGTTGCCTTCTTACCATTCAATCCAATAGAGAAGCTCGTTCTAATCTTAACATATCACAGAGACAATATATGATTTTTGAATGAGGTCAAATGCTTAGAAATTTCAAACCAAAATAGTTTTTTAAAAAAGGTACCAATTTGATTATTGAGTAACAACGATCAAACTTATAGATTATGTAATTGTACAAGTTTAATCATTGTTGAACTATGAATTAACGTCATTGACAAAATTGCAGCATCATGAAGTAGAGCCAGAGTGGAGCGGATTAGAATATTAGATGTGTCACGCCACATGTGTTTCAAACACCACATGTCATGTTGTGTGCATCTACCAGCTCTTCGCTTTGGGAACCTGAATTGACGATTTTGATTCCACTTTTATTTTTAAGGCATTTGCATGTTTTGATTTACAATTTCTACAAATGAAAAATGGTATGGTGTAAAATGCATCCCGTGTAACATTAAAAAAAACAAAAATCAATCACGGACTGAAATTGTAATGGTGTCATCCCTACTCGATTTTGGTTAGGGTGCGATTATGTCCTCTTAGGAAACGAAAACGGAACCGAATTGTGTTTTGTGTTCATGCCAACTATGAATTGTTTGTTTGTAGATCATTCTTAGAAGTAAATTTTAGATTACTCATGGAAAATCAATTTTTAAATTATAGGATAACATATTGTATTGTAATACAATCAATAGTATTAAAAAAAGTGATATACTCCCCCCGTCCATAAATTATCTTCCCACTTTCCTTTTTCGTCCGTCCAGAAATTATTTTCCCATTTCCTTTCTAGGAAATATTTTTATATTGAAATGACTGAATTACCCTCCCTCACCCATTCCATATCTTTTCTTTTCCTTCTTCACTGCCGGTCCACCTGCCAGGCTGCCACCACCCATTCCTCCTCTTCTTTCTTATCGTCTTCTCCCTTTCTTATTTCCTTTTCTTCTACCTTTCTTTTTTTCTTTCTTCTTCTTCTTCTTCTTTCTTTTCTTCCTCCCCTTCTTATTTTGTTCTGTCATCAACTGATTGGGTGTAGTGAAACTGCGGTCGGGGTAACGCCGGAGCAAAGAGGCGGTGGTCGGAGGTGACGCAGCGATCAAATATGCTCTTCTTCCCACATCGCAGTCATCAATTCCATAGATCTACAAATCCATGTTGCTCCTAACCCCGACTCTCCCCGCCAAAACCTCGGATGCAACATATTCTTCTTTGCCCAAGTTGTCTTCAACAAAAAGATCCAAAATCGATCTACGGGGTTGGGGGGTACTGAGGGGATGGGAGTAAGAGCCGAAGAGGTCACCCACTGTGTTGTGGGAGCGAGTCGGCAGTGACGGAAGGGAGAGTCGTCTAGACTTGGGGAGATGTTGAGGTTGGGGGTATAATAGGAAAGTTAAGGCATTTTTTATCACACATTAATATGCGTGCCGGGTCAAACCGGGAAGTTCTTTAATGGACGGAGGGAGTAAGTCTTATGGTTCTTGTCTTTTCCTAATATTCATTAGGGTTGAAAATATCATTTTATTAAAAAGTGATCCAAAACTTTTTCATAGAAAACAATTCAAAATTATACTCTTCTTGTCGTACAAAAGTTTTATTTATTACTTTACCTCAAAATTATACGGAGTATTCTCTTTTTCTATTAGAGCATGACCGGAGGGAGTATTAGATTAGGTCTGGGCGTCTAGTACCCTAGTTGAACGGCGTCGTTTGTGGGGCTACTGTTCCGCGCGTGCATTCCCGTAGTTTTTTTTACATATAGTAACAGAAAAATCTCTTCCGAATTCCAAATCAGATCTGATTGGGTGGCCGAAAGAGCGACGACAACATGGATGAAGAGGAGCACGAGGTCTACGGAGGAGAAATCCCCGTCGAAGGCGAAGAAATCGAGCATCACGGCGCCGACGTCGATATGGCGGCCGCCGACGATGACGCCGTCAAGGTACTCCCTGTTTTCATCTGCTTTATGACGGATATGATCGTTGGCGTGCGAAAAAACCTCTCGGAGATTGATCTGTTTATGTTACTTGTTCGTCGATTTGTTTCTTTGTGGTTGATTTGGCAGCTCCAGGAATTGGATGAGATGAAGAAGCGGCTGAAGGAGATGGAGGACGAGGCTGCTGCTCTTCGTGAGATGCAAGCCAAAGTTGAGAAGGAGATGGGCGCTGCTCAAGGTGATGATTTTGTTTTTCAGCAATTGATTAGTTTTCAATCTTGTATTATATCATTCTATGCGCATCTTTGAAATTGTTTATCTGTGGTACCAGATTTGTATTTGAGTTCTCTCCATGTGCTATTTTGTTACTGAGGTGAAAGGCGAAGGGTAGCTACTCTGTGTATTATTGTATTTGAAATAAGTTACTAAATCAACTTGCAATTGGGAAGAAGTTATTTTTTCCAGAGAAGTGAAATTGTGGATATATTATTACTCAATTAGTGATTTGGGATTACATATTGTTTGTTGTTCTCTTCTTGTCACTAATCCAACCAATTGATTCACTTGTTTCTTGCAGATCCGGCAAGTGCTGCTTCTCAGGCAAACAAGGAAGAACTTGATTCACGGTCAATCTTTGTCGGCAATGTAATAATCAAAGTTCCACTTTTATTTTATATTTGTTTATGTTTGTAGATCTTCTTATAAAGTTCATTTATTTCACATAACATACATATACAAACTACTCTGTGCTCCGGAAGGGGTGTCAAAAACTTCTTGTAGGGAAGCAAAGCTAATGAGCTACTCTAAGTAACTTTGTAGCTCAGTAGTAGAACAGTTCTCTTTCTTTACAGCATGGTTCAGATCTTCTTTCCTTTTGGTTTGAACGATAAGTAAATAACAACAGAAATAACAAATCTTTTATTATTCTTATGTAAATTGCTCTAAAACATCTATATCTCTAATTATTTCTTCCCCTTATTTCAATTGTGAAAACACAACTTTTTTTTCTAAATTAATGTGGAAAAGATCTTTAATTTTTGTAAGAGTTAATATTATGATAGTGGTTTATGACTTAATTTTAAATAAATTTTCTGTATGACTGATACTAGGATTTAGATTGTTCAAGTAGTTTGGACATGTAAAGGAAGGTTTGTATAAACTTTGAGGTTTATGCCTCATACCGTTTTGAGGCATATGCTTCACCCTACAAATGCATATTCAAACATTCATATTGATAAGTCACTGCTATTTGTGCACAGGAGTTGCCCCTGCCCTTTGTCTTTTTCTTTTGTATATCTACTCTTGATTATTTGAAAATATCAAGTCTCTTCTTGGTGCAGTCTTTGTCTAACTATTAACTCTAAAGCTTCTTGGAGTCGTGGATTAACTATATCTCATTATGATCGCAGGAGTTCTTCCTTATTCCTGAATAGAGATGGGCTTTTTAAAACTTATTCTTATATTGGTGGAAGGCATTGGTTGTGGTTTTAGATGGGCTTGCATTTGTAGTAATTTTTTATTTGTATGTTGGTTCCCATAAAAAGCATAATCCCTTGATTGGAAAAAAAGTGAATGAAGGGGAAAAAACAAAGCTGTAAAAAAGATGAAAAAATTGTGAGTCCCCAAAGATTTAAAATAACTTTGAAAAGAATTAAAAAAAAGTAAAGTAATGGGGGACTTAAAAAAAATCAAAAGAATATGAAAAAAAAGAGAGTATGAGTTTTAGAAAGTGTCCAGTATTTGTGGGGCATGGATGAATGTAGGGTCAGTGCACGAGTGACTTAGAGATCACCTGCTATCATGCAAGAAGGCAAACTCTTGTCGTTAAATTGCAAAAGCATAGCCTATACCATGCCAATGCTAGTTGCTGAGTCTGCTCGCCGGCTGGTGGACATCAATGTTCCGAATTGACTAGCTCTTAAGCATGGTCTCGTGAGGTGTCACTACTTGCCTTTCTGCATGTGTTTTGTTTCTTTGCCCTGTCTTTGCTATAGGCATTGATGTTAAAGCATCCAAGATGATTTTTAGAGCCTTCCTTTCTCTGGTATTGTAGCAGTGAGTTGATTTTGTACTAGGCCCTAAGCCATTTTTTCATTTGGAGGTTTGGTGGGGGAAGGAAGGGTAGCGTGGTATTTATAACCAATATATTCTTACATTTAGATGCTTGTAAAGAAAGTGAAAATAATTACATAAAAATAAGTTATTACTAAACATATCCTAGTCATTTTTTAGTCTAATACCAACCAAGTGATAAATTGCTAAAAATAAAGATGAGTCCTCTCTTTCAAAATTCTTCAACTAAACCAGCTCTATTGGGGGGGGGGGGGG